TATTGGTTGAACCAGTATAGCTGTTTTTCAGACAGAAGAGTGCAACAGTCAGGTTCCGAAGGTGAAAATCCCAATTAGGTTCTCCATAGGGGAATTGATTTTTTTTAACAATAACTTACTGTATAAACCCTTGTGAAACCCTATACAACTATTGTGAGCTACGAGGTTGTTAATCAATAAATAAAGAAATATTCACCAATCAGAGAATCAAAAAAAGCACATTGCACCAAAAGAACTCTCAAGTGCGTGCCCACTCCCATAAAGCACTGCAAATTAAGTACCGTAATCAAATCTATACCTATATCTATACAATACCAGTCAAAAATTTGCAAACATTAGCCCTACTTAAAAAAAAAAATGTTTTTCAAAGAGGTCTCAAATGCTCATTAAGCCTGATTTTTTTATTTAAAAAAAAAAACAGGAAAAAAAAGTTATATTGTGAAATATTATTACAATTTAAAATAATGGTTTTCTTTTTTAATATACTTTAAAATATAATTTTTTTCTGTGATGCAAAGCTGAATTTTCAGCCTCATTACAGTCTTCACTGTCACATGTCAAAATCGAAATCTTTTCTAACAATATCAATTTCTTTAATATCAAAAAAGAAAAGAAAATCTTTTGAACTGTAGTGTATATTGTTACAAAATATTTATATTTTTAATAAATGCTGTTTTTTAAAAACTTTTAATTCATCCTGAAAAAAGTATCCCAGGTTATGAAAAAATTAGGGCTGTCAAATGATTAATCGTGATTAATCACATCCAAAATAAAAGTTTGTGTTTACATAATGTATGTGGGTGCACTGTGTATAATTATTTTATATATATATATATATATATATATATAAATACACATGTATGCTTGTATATATTTAAGGAATATTTTCATGTATATACTGTATATAGATTTATATATAATTTATATTTTATATAAATATAAATATTTTATATATAAATAATATTTTTTCTTAAATATACATGCATGTGTGTGTATTTATATATATATACAAAATAATTATACACAGTGCACCCACATATATTATGTAAACACAAACTTTTATTTTGGATGTGATTAATCGTGATTAATCATTTGACAGCCCTAAAAAAAGATTAAGCAGCAGAATTGTTTCAAGCTGAAAATTCAGCTTTGCCATCACAGGAATGAATTACATTTTAAAGTATATTAAAATAAAAAACCATTATTTTAAATTGTAATAATATTTCACAACATTACTATTTTTTGATCAAATAAATGCAGGCTTGATGAGCATAAGAGACTTCTTTAAAAAACATTAAAGAAAATAGTAATGTTTCCAAATTTTTGACCACGGTACCGTCATGTATGCATGCAAGTATATATAAAACAAAGATAAATAATATGAGAACTTTTGCACCTTTAATGTAAAAATTACAACGTATGCAATGCCACTGAAAAACCAAACTGACACATTTAATTTAATTAATGGCAATTTATAATTTATTTAATTTATTGACACAGACAAAAACACACAAACACACACACATATAGCTGGTTGGTTTGGTTTGTGTCTCTTTAACGAATTTAAAAACAACTCTTTACCAAAGACTTTGCACTCTACAGTCTATGAATATTGAACTGGGATAAGAGAAAATGTATTGAACCTAATAACTAAACACTTCATATTTAACGGGATCCCCACGTGACTTTAAAGAAACATGAAAGACAGAATAACATTTCTCACCTTGGCCTCAAGGATTCTCTTGCGAGCTTTCAGTTCTGCAACGGCCTTATTGACATCAACATCAGGAGCATTTTCTTCCTTCAACTGACGCACAACATCACCCTATGTGGAAAAATAAACAGTTTAGTTTATTACTATGATTACTTACTACATATTAAAAAACATATGTATCCATCAACATTTTCCTAGTCTGTGTTTTTCCCCACCCTCAGTCTCCATTGGTCTGTCAGAATTGCTCATCTCAAACGTGGCACTGACAGACTGAATAATCCAACAGTAAAAACCCCAAATAAAACCACCACACTGTAATACACTTCCTGAAATATCACTTTTGCAAAAATGCATTATATAGTTTTCCATAATAAACCATTTTAACAATTTTGAATAATATAAAAGGGCCGCATTACATTCCTAAATGACGTTTCCACCTCGAATAAAAAGACAATAACATACGTATTTAATGCAATGCATGACTATGTGAGATAGTAATGCAGCATATTACATTATGCTTGTTATTGTCTTTCATTACCTGTTCCTTCACTGCCAGTCTCAAGGGAGCCAGAACCTCTTCAATACTGCTATCCATATTCTGTCCTCCTGTTATCTCCAGCCACGCGCTTCTCTTCTTCTTCTTCTCACACAAACAGCCCGACAGCGAGAGTGCTCTGGTCGGAGGGGAAGCACACAGGCGTATGGGACTGGATCGGACCCTCGGAACAGCGCGGACGGTGGCGATCTGGGTACCGGTCCTGAGTAGGAGTGCTGATGTTGCGCTACGGAGAGACAGCATGGACCGAGAGGAGGAGCAACCACACAGCGGAACTGAATGATGAAATCCCCAAAAATGAGTAAGTGGAGGCGGGGATTCAGTTCGACACTTTCGCCATTCTTTTGGTTTAATTGGATTGAGTTTTAACTGGAAAATAGCAGATTCGACACAATATTTCCGATAATATCTCTCGATAATAAATCGAAATAAAAAAATCAAGCAAAACATAAATTAAATCCTACTTTAAATAAATAAATGTTTACTAATACATGAAACATTATAATTAATAATAAATAATTTTAAATAGTAGGCTATTTTATTGACTTCTTGAACTCAACACCTTGTGAAAAAAGAAGAAAAAAACAATACACAGAACAATAAAACATACATTACAACGAAGATAACAATTAAAATACACACAATATAGCTAAACAAATAAGTTCAAAACAAGAATATAATTATTCCTCCTTTTTTGAAAACTAAAATAATTCACACAATATCATGACTTAAGAAATAAAGTCAGCTTGACAGTTGACTCAATTTATAGATGTAATTGTGCGTTACTATCATCAGTGCTGTCATATTATCTACGAAGACACAGTGACCTTTTTCTAATTGTAATTCATTGCAAGGTAGCAGTAATCTAATTACTGGGGGGTAACAAAATTTCGTGGTTGTCATTGATTTTTGTTTTCAATATTTACTATTAAGATCCATCGATCGAATGGACCATTGTTTTTTTGTCTTTTTCAAAGCTTCACATTATCTTTTACACGCACTTTTGTCAATTTTTGGCTAGTCTACGTTACCCCTGCCCTTACAATAATAATTCATCAGTACAACATCCACAGTAGGCCTATACCTCAGGAAGACACTTGGAGAATATAATTAGAGAAGACAATTTACTTACATGATGATGATATAATACAATTTACATATTGTATACAAATATTTCAATAATGTTTAAGGGATTATAATATAATATAATCTCCTCTGCAATTGTCTCCTTAAACAAACACTTGTTTTGCGATATTCTACATTTGTACGTATAGCTCTAGTGAAAGCAGCGGCAAAATCGGGCAAGATGAATAGGCCTACATCTGACTTCAGTTCATCTCCTCCAATCACAGGATTCCAGGAGTATTCCAGGAGATTCCAGTAGCCTACTATTCGGCCACAAGATGTCAGTATAAGCCCAAATTTAAACACTGCCTCAACAACAACTGTGGAATAACAATCTAAAGCCACTTGCCACAAAATAAACACTACAATTACTCTACATTTAAACGTCACCCATTAGTTATATAGACTTTCATTATTAGCTAAAAGAATATTCTGTAGTATTTGAATGTTTTCGTAAATAGAACAACCATAAATTCGTATTCGGTTTTTAAAAATCCAAATTAATTTAGCAACTCAACAGAACAACAAGCACTAAACATGATATATATTTTAATGGCCTGTTGACATTATTTATTTATTTATAGTTACATTGTTTATAATATTTTATTCATATTAAAACGTAAAAAAGATACAGAAATGTGTTGAAGGATAAATAGGCTGTAAAACTAGTTGAAGTGAAGGTTGCATCACACAGACTGCCTTATTAAACATTAAGATCAAACACCCACCGTCATAAAATATTCAGTAGCCCTCCCACCTCTCGCCCTGTCATCATTTCTGAAATCACTGTAATTTCTCTTAGTAGGCTATCTCATCGAAATCATTTCCCCTTTAAAGATTCTTCTGTTTAATGTAGCTATAGGCTAGAATTGATCATTTTCTTCATCACCAGATTCTTTAAATTTGATGTTTCATATAGGCCTACAGTAGCTTATGGTTTCCTAGTCTGAAACAGGTTTGAAATTATTATAGCTAAATGTGAGATGCTGTCTAAAGTGAGAGCAAACAAACTATATCAAAAAGTGACGTATAAAGATCAGACCAGATATAAAAAGAAAAACTGTAATAAATTTAACAGCTTGACCTGTAATACAGATTACTAAATTAGTTGGTTTTGTATGTGCTGTTTTTTGGTTGTTGTTTTTTTACTTGACACTTCTTTGTTAGATGGTTTTGATAAGACGCAAACTATATCCAAGCTGCTATTTGAACATAACCTTAAAAAAAGCAAGTGAGAAATAAGTCAGAAAACAACAAAATGTATAAAATGTAATTTATCTTGTTTACATCTGTGTCATGACATTATGATAGGGTTCAACATTAGGTGCATTATGGTCTTCTGTATACGCAACAAGCAAAAAAAAAAAGATTCTTTGTTTTGTTTGTTTTAAGTGTACACAAACTTTTTTTTTTTTGAGTGTGGCTGATATCAAGTAAAAGTAACTGTAGGGTTACCTTACCATGGTACATTTTTCTATCTTCTTTAGGAGAACTAAAAAACCAACGGCATGCTGGCATACAGTAGAAATTAATAATTTGAGAATTGATTAAGTTAAGGGTAGTTTCACACGGTCAAATCATGTGCGCGCACACACACACACACACACACACACACAGAGAGAAGGGGGAGAGAAAGAGCGGCTGCAGATTTAGACTCTTTGTTATTACACACTCTGTCACTGATCTCCATAGACCTGATTTCACACGAGGGCTGAAATGTCGCCGATTGCCGTCATCTGACTGGAGCATATCGTCTTGCATCGATCGCCGTATGATCATGAAGTGTGTGTTGAATGTTTATGTGGATGTGGTGGTGTAAGATCGTGTGCAGTGTATGGTGCGTCTGCCATCTGGACACACTCCGCTAGCTCGCTAGCATTAGGCTAGCTAAAAATTATCAAAACATAAGTGACTGAGGAGGAATAAAATCCCGTTTCCATGGACAACACGTCCATCATTACCCAGGTAGCAAATCCAAAGGAGGAAGAGATCCTTTCTTGTCAAGAAAAAGGTAAGGCGATAGGCGCCTGCTTATTTGACTGGATGTTGGATGTTTTTGTTTTGACAGCGGAATCACTGCGGCTTTGCTGTTGATGCTCTTAAGATTTTATTAATCCATAATATTATAAAGACTAATGATTTTTTTTTTTAAATGTAACATTTTAATAATAATAAATTAAATAATGTATTATTATTAATGTTTTATATTATCGACGTTTTTTTTTCTTGTTTTATTTTGGAAATCAAAACTAAAATACAGAATAATAAAAAAAATTTCAATGTATGTTTCTCAGCTTCTGACTGAGAATCTCAAAACAAGTGTTTCCAGTCAGCTGCCTTCTGTTCGTGGTTTTAAGCAACAATGTATTTAACATGGATGCACATACTCGCTCACAGTTATTTCCCTAAGCATCAATCTTAATGCTTGTGCTGGAGCCAGAGCCTCAATAAGCGGATAAAAAATATTTAATGCCACTGAGCCTGAAATCAAAACACTGAACTGGCTTTGCCATTCTCTGCCATTCAGATCCCAGTTTTTGTACCAATTTCTGCTTGTCAAATGATAACCATGCGTTATTGTACTGCTCAGAAATGTTGATGTTTTCTCTCTTGAAAGCAATAACTGTGGATGAAAGAATCAGTTTAACTGCTAACTTACTAAACATATGATGTAATTTCGGTGTAAGAGGTGGATTGCTGTTGTCTGTAGTTTGAAAGGATTGAGTTAACAGTGAAGCAGAAACGTCTTAGTTAATTTTCTCTTTGGATTTTGCAGTGCTTCTAAAATAAGATTTATTTTACTCAATGAGTTTACCCAGCAAATCAATATCTCCTCCTGCCTGGCACTTTCCCCAAGTGCTCTTGACACATTTTGAGTCGTTTTGGTCACCATCTGAAGCCTAATGTGGTTAAACCCCTTGTTGTTCTTGGGTTTTAAACAATATGGTATCAAATGCTTATTGAATTCCATAGCACTTCCATGGAGCGTCAGGAAACAAACTCATACTTATGCAGTTATCAGTGGCTTTTTATAATTGCTTCTTCATTTAAGTAGTTCTCAAGAGAGTGTTTAAACCCATGGAAGTCTTGTGCCTGCTTAAGTCAACACAACACGCACTAATGTGAGATGAAGTGATGAGATTAGCCCAAACGAATTAATGCGAGTAAATAAATCACGTAAATTATTTTCACGTGGCTTTCGGCTACTTTTCTGAGGATAACAACACAACATAAACATTTTACAGTCACTTAGAGCACAAACAGATGGTAGTCCACATGTTGGAGGGCTTACTTGACGAGAGAGGAGCAGAAGGACGAGGTCTGGTTTTGGGGTGTAATGCGCCCTCTCACCGCTCCCCTGCTGGGAAGTTGGATCAGTTGACTGAGGATACCTCCACTATGAGAGGATCACATGACAAAGGAATCCCTCATCATGTCTATCAGTTTAACATACTTTTTGATTTAGGATGAGACAGTATGCCCGCTTTGCTCGAATTCTGCCTATTAGATTCAGAGATGTTTCTCGGTGCAATAATGTTGGCCTCTTATGCTCGGCTCCAGAGAATAAGTTCAACGGTCCTAAATAAATCTTAATTTATGCACGGCCATGTTTCAAGAACAGGAAAGCGCACACTCGCAAATCAAGCCATAGCTGCCAGCCTGCCACCTCTTATGGGAGTGAATGGACCCCTATAGCAACATTTAGTTATTCTTTGAACAGATTTAATGGGATTAATGATTGAAAATAATGCCCTTTAAAGAAATATTCCAGGTTCAATACAAGTAAAACATAATCAACACAAAATAATTTCCAGTTTGTTCTTCTTTTCTTCAAAAAAGTAGAAATCTGGGTTGCAGTGAGACGCACTGAAAGTGAATGGTTGAAGTGGAAGCAATGAAGCAATTTTTCCTTATTGATACATCTGAGTGGAATTGAAAAATTCGCCACCAAAGATTAGTCTATCGTTTTACGAGAAGACTGGGTTGACATTTTAATTAAAAAAGCTACAAAAAAAAGTTAAAAATGAAACATTTCCATGGAGGAATTGTTCACAATAAGATCAATAACATGCATTTTGTAAGATATGGTGAATTTTCATAACATCTTTAAATTCTCACTGTTTATCATAGTATTTATTACTGTATAGCCATGAGATGTATTAACATTATTTTGGTGTTACAGATTGCTTTCCTGTGTAAAATTATGTAAAATTATAATACTTCAATGCCTAAAACCCTAACAACTATAAAAATTGATGATTTAAAACAACTTTACAGTTCAAATAATACAGAAGTTTTAACAGAATAATTATTGTAAGTGCTCTGTAAGCTTCACAGTTCTGTTTTTAAAACCTCCAATCCCCAATTACTTCTACGTCCATGTTGTTTTGTTATTTCTGTACCTTAAAATCAAGTTTTTAGATGAAATGGGGCATTTAGGGGGGCAACCACTGACATTTCATACTGTATAAGACATTTCCTTTAATTATAAGGAGTAAGGACACTTTGCTTGATGCAGCAAGAACACCCCTTATAATTTTGTATTGCAAGGAATTGTCATCTCCGTTGGGCTTTTGATATTCAGAGCTTTCTGTGAGATTACATTGAAAGAATCTCATTAAAAAGATGCCACTGTCTCTTATCTACAGCTAAAAAAGGATAATGAAGCTTAGCTTTCGAGGTTTGTCATGCAGAAACACAACCTTTCCTTTCCAAAATGAAGCTTTGCACACCGGTCCCCTCGTGTGGTGAAAAACTCTCCTAACCCAGTGGCCTTGGATGTCAGCCACACTTGCTGAATATTTCAAACCAGATGGGGCTATTTTCAGAAACCTATCCGTTTCATTGTAAGCAAAGAAGCAGCTGACAAATGCATGTCGTGTTTTGAGTGTGGCGCTGGTGTTTGTGCTTATAGATTGCACCTTTATGCATAATGTATAGAGTTTAATGAAGTTAAATCTTATTGCTGAGGGTTTCGGGACAAACACCGTCACAGGTGATAAAGCGAATCCAGTTGTAGATGCACGTGATGGATGAGGTAGAGACTTTCAGGGCTTGTTAAAAGCTTTTTACCCTTTAGTCTCTAAGAGAAATAGTCTGTCAAGGTTAGGTCTCCTTCCACTTTATTTTGGAATATGCTCTCATTTTGCATTCTTGTTGCAATCTTAGCCTTGCATACCGAATGCGGTCGGGTGTACAGTCTGGAGGCCTTTTTTGGTCTCTGAGTGAGTGTGCAGCAAATTACAAATATGTGCTCATAATTCCAGTTGATTAGAGTACACATTATGTTTGTTTGCAAGGCATGAGGCCTTGTTTTGTCAGTCCACAAAAACTCATAGCATAAGCGCTAGGGAATTGGCCTGCCAGCTAATGTCAGGAAGCACATGATGACATCATACAATCAGCATGAAACACTATTATCCAACCAACTGTAAAAACAATCCCTGTATCATCCATCTGTGGTTGACGTGCAGTCTGTTTGGTTTACTTCATGCAACTTATGGATTATTAGCTTTATGCAGGCTTCACAACGTGACCCTAGAAATGGGTCATGATGGATTGTGATGAGGGAAAGTAGTTTGTTTCGTATATGGATGCACTGATGAATGATAATATATTGTGAATATAAATAAAGACTAAAAATGACTTAATTTTTAAATGCTACAAGAGAATTTAGGCATCAGGACATTATAATATAATAGCCTTTGAAAAGGAATATTCATTTTGTGATTTGCTAAAGATTACATTTAACAGTATTCAATTATTAGGCCTATTGCTTTTAAAGAAGAACTATAACTGAGTGTTAGATAATGGCAGTCATTTAAATGTAAAAAATAAGGGGAAATAAGCATGCACAACAACTAAATATTCAATATCAAACAATACCGATAAATTAAACAAAACTCTAATATCGGCCAAATTATCAAAATGCTATAGATTAGATACATTGTGCATCCCTCTTCTTATATATAATCTTATGTTCACCAAGGCTGTACTGTAACTCTACAAATACTGGAACTGTTTTCTATTAGAATATTTTAAATATTGATTGCAAAGCTGAATTTTCAGCATCATTACTCCAGTCTCAAGTGTCACATGATCCTTCAGAAATCATTCTAATGATTTGCTGCTCAAGAAACATTTCTTAGTATTATCAATGTTGACAACAGTTGTGCTGCCTAAAATTTTTGTGGAAACTGATACATTTTCTTTCAGGATTCTTTGATAAATATAACATTCAAAAGAACAGCATATATTTGAAATAGAAATCTTTTGTAACATAAGAGTCTTTACTCTTCAGTCACTTTTGATCAATTTAATTGAATTGTTATATACAGTATATTAAAGTTTTATTTAATAATGTATTACATATAGGCTACTGTCTCAGGAATTGTATATCTTAAATTCCTCTTTAAAGCCACAGCCAGACACATTCATACGGACGTCTCTGATTAATGAAGGCGGAGGACATATTTGACAGTGAAATGCCCACATTATTATCGAGGAGACATTATAAAGATGCCTCTGGCTTCCCACATCATGCTTTGCTCTCTATAAATAGCATATTGGAACATGACGTGCTAAAAGAGTTCAAAAGGAAGAGTTTCCCAGGCTATCCCGAGGCTACAGATACATCCATGGGATGGGATATTAGGATTGAATTTAATCAAATTCACTGTACTGCTCCATGCTTTGGTGCTGCATTGCTGCTGAACTGACCAGCTTTGCTCTAATAAGTCTTAACTTTGTCAGGTATCATTGGATGATCCGTTTACCTTAATCAGATTAGCAAGTGTCTGAGCGTAGATGTTTATCCCCACACCGCTCACATCGTCAGCCAATTAGAAGCTGCCTGGCACCTCCTACAGAATCATATTTCAACATGGAAGAGCACCAACGTTGTGGTCCTTCACAGTATGGATTGGTCGCCTTGCTCAATAACAAAAGGATGTTTGACTTCCTAATTCTCAGTTTAGACATGGGGCACAATTAGTTTGCAATGTTAGTTCC